CGAATACTTCCGGTAGCGAAACGTGGTGCTGTTTTACCAGTTCTACCGTTATTGGGAATAGTCGGTTCGTTGGTTGGAGGAGCAGCGGGGGTTGCAAAGGTTGTGCATGACAACAAGGCTGCTCAACGTCAACTAGAAGAATTAAAACGTCATCATCGTGCCATGGAAGACCGCGTCATGAAAGGTCGAGGAGTCTATCTTGCACCATACAAACGTGGAAAAGGCGTCTCGAAGAAAAAAAAAAACATGGATGAAACGATAAAAATGCCTACCGGTGCAACCACCAACGTTCAATTGAACTATTTGGCGAAGCGCTTGCATATCCCATTTTTCCAAGGTGTCTTTATACGTAACGCACTCCCGATGTTACCGCGTATAAACAAAAGCGGTATCATAAATTTGGGCGATGCTGAAGGATCTGGTACTCATTGAATGGCGTACGCAAAGAGAGGAGAACGCGCGATATATTTCGATAGTTTTGGTAATCTTAGGCCGCCCAAACAATTGATTCGATATCTCGAAAGAGATGTAGTGAAAATTGAGTACAATCGCGCACTCTATCAACGTTACGAAGAAAGCACTTGCGGACAACTGTGTTTACATTTTCTGCAAATTGTCGACAAACCTATTTAAATTCCTGATGTTTCGTTGCGAGAACTCTGTATTCGTTTGACAGTTCCCCGAGTATGTCACTGACACTTACGCTGTCGGGCAATAGTAGCACCCTTACGGCGAGCTACTTTCCTGCCATAGATTTGAGCGTTGATGATTATGAACTTGGCTTGACCACCTTTGAATCTTATCATACGATACCGAATGTAAACGCATCGAATAATAAATTTTACTTTGGTGACGATGACAGGGAAATTTCAATTCCTGAAGGATCGTACGAATTACATGCCATAAACGAGTATTTAAGACGTGTAATTTCTCAAGCAACAGTACGTACCAAAAATAATCTATATAGAGATGACAAGGGTGAATATCCTATAACAATTCGTGCCAATCATAATACAATGAAGAGCGAAATAAAATGTGCTTACAGAATAAATTTTAGTAAGCCGAACAATATTGGTTCCCTCTTGGGATTCTCATCGAATCGTATATTAGCACCGCAACAATGGTACGAATCGGATGCACTGATTAAGATTATGAACGTGAATATTATTCGTGTAGAATGCAGCGTCGTCAGTGGTGTATACAGCAACGGTACCCGTGTACATACGATACATGAATTCTCACCTAACGTATCACCAGGATAAAGATATCGAAAACGCCGGCACATGTCATTTATCTTCCAATCATCGCACGAAGCATTACAGATTTAACGGTGCGTATCGTCGATCAAGAAGGGCGCTTGCTCGATTTTCGAGAAGAAGAGATTACCATCAGACTGCACGTGCGACGGCGACTACAACGTTAACACGAATTCTATATTTTTGGAAGCGCGTGAGATGCTCGTACTGAATGAAACGGAACAGGTGACACATTCGAGAGAACATTTCATCGCACCGAAGACGGCTCCAAGCAGTACTCGTGGTTGTATAAAACAAAAACTCAATGCGGCGAATATTGAATTTCTTAAATCTCCTACGATGTAGGATACATCGTGCGAAACAATTGAAAAAAGATAATTGACATTTTGAACATTGGAAGTAGTCCGGTCTTTGACGATCGCATCGTCAAAATCGAAACACACACGTACAATCCATACGCTAACACAACGTTTGGACACAGCGATGAGATACGAATACCTATACAACAGCAAGACTTGTACACGTTACCGTGTGAGAGTTATCTCTATGTTGAGGGGAAGATAACGAAACAAGCGAAAGCCGATGGTGTGACTGTAACATTGGGACGTAATTGCGTTGCATTTATGTTTGATGAAATTCGTTAAGAACTCGATGGTGCAGAGATTGATCGTAACAGAAACGTGGGAATAACTTCCACGCTGAAAAACTATTGGGTGTACAACTTATTTCGGTCCGTTTTTTTGCTTGAAAAACGCATTTATTTGAATGATAAAATGAATTAATACATTATTGAAAGTATTGTCCATCGCTAGCCACTACTTTTTCCCATCTTTCTGGCAATTTATGGATTCCGTCGCGGAAGAAGCGTTCATCTTTTGAAGC